CCTACACACTTGGTTTTGGACAGTAGTTGAGATGCACTTTAATCTGAGCTAGAATGAACACTAAGCATATAACTATTGCCTTTTTTTGCAGTTGGTGACTTGAATGCTTGTCTTTTTTTAACTTAAAAGATTTTATCTGATGGTGAAATCTTAACCATTCTGCTTCACTGGTTTTACTACCAGCAGTGAACTGCATGGGAATAAACTGGGAATCATATGTGAGATTTCTGTTCAGACTAGAGCTGGATTTTATTCCCCCTATAATGCTTGATATGCATTAAACAGGATTTTATTATATTAATGTGTGTTTACTAGATTTCCACCAGAGAATGCAGCTGAACTTTTTATGCCTGAAGTACCAGTTTTGCAATGGTCAGATTTCTTGCCACCAACATAACTTGTTAGGTGTATCACATCTAAATGTCTCTTAATGATCAGTCCCTGAGCAGGTCTATATTCTGCTTTTCTTGAATGTGTTTAGTTTAGCGACCCTCAGAGCTTCTTGCATAATGACCTTTCACTTGCTTTTCAGTTTCTGCAGATAGTTACTGATTATAAACCAACAATATCTCAAAGTTACTCTTGTGAGGGGAAGAGGATGAAAGGCTATAGTTTCTTGGTGATCTAGTTCTCCTTACTCTCTAGGGTAAAGTAAGCTGTCTAGTCAACCATTTCACTTGTCTAGGAGATTCTCAGAGTTGAAATTAGGCAATTCAATTGGCTTTATTTTTCAGGCCTCCTTGTGAAATGTGTCTAGTGCCAGTGCACTTTGTTCTGGAACAGCAGCTGTTATTAGCTAGCAGTGTGCATGACAAGAGCTGCTTGCCTTTATTTTCTAGAAGTATATAACAATACTTCTTAAGAGGTTTTCATCCCACTAGAGCTGGTGTCAACACCCCATGATAGTTTGCAAACTTGTTCTCACTGAAAACCAGAGATAGTCCTGATCTGTACCACTTATATCTTGCTTTGAAACCTTTTTGATAATGCCTTGATCCCTAAAAGAGCATATATTAGGTGTTGTGTAAGTATATCTTCTTAACTTCTTAGAAGTTAACTAGAAATAACAAACTGTAAGTAGATGCCTATACAGATGGTTTAATGAGACTTACTGTGTGCCCTGGTAATAATTCTTATGTTAAATTAATGCCCTCCCCCACCTAAACAAGAAAAAAATAAAGTAACAACAAAACTCCAACCCTCTTTCACAAGCTTGACTAACAAATTTTATTATTTGCA